GAGCGATGCTGGAGCCAGACCCCAGCCCTGCATTGTCATTATTGCCAGAGCCAGAGCCAGAGCTGCCTGATGATCTGCAGCAGTTGAACACAGTGGATATGGAAAGTAAGTGATTTCTCTCACCCATTACCAAAAAGTGAGCTCCAAGTTCCTCATTCATTTTCTGATGATGCCTTTTGTTAGGAAATGCAAGTGTCTCCCCAGCCCCACCCGTTTGTTTCTTCCATTTCCTAAGAGTCCCTTCAGTCCCAGGCTGTGCCTTCCCTGCTAGAGTTGGAAGCTTCTAAGTTGGATCAGGGCCTGATGTTTCTCTCTGTATCACCTAGTCTTCAGAAACAACATAAGTCTTGATGATATCATGCCCAACGGTGACCCACTCTTGGCTGGTCAGAACATCATTGATGAGGCTTACACATCCTACCCTAGCCATTTTGATGTGGATGGACCCTTGATTCCTTCTGATGACTAGGAGCGACACTCCCGGTTTGTCCATCCTATCTCCCCCATCAGGATGCTGCTTCCAACAGTGGGAAATGAGCCCTTCTAGGCTGGGTTTGCCATGAACTTTGAAGTAAGAGGTAAAAGCATAACATGGTTTTGAAGGTACCAAAAGAGTCAGAAGATGCTGGCCATAGTCTTACTAGAATCCTGAGGCTGCCTGCCTTGCTGGGAGACACAGGGTTCCTGAGGACAGGCCAGGACATTTGGGAGGTTCTTAAAGGGTCCAAGGCAGTGGTATCTTTCCAGTATGGAAGGATGTTAATGTTTTGATAATTAGCTAAATTGGTGTGAACCAGCATTGGGCCTTAGTTGGAAGTTCAGAGATGGATGGAATTCTGTTATCCTGGGTCTTGTCAAATCCAGAGCCTTACCCATGGTAACCACAGTGGCACTGAGCCATACCCCAAGCCCTTCAGTTCTCCTGGTTACTTAAAGTCCAAACTAACCCTTTCCTTTTCTCCTCCCTTCACTACTGCCTCCAGTTCCAAATTTCCTTCTTTTCTTGTAGAGGCTGAGAGCTGTCTGCTTCAGCCCACCTTGTGCAACTCTGTCCTGAGGAAAAGCATGACCAATACAATTACTTTTCCTTCTCAATTCCTCCAATACAAAATAACCCTGATTCTCTAATGAAGATGTGAGCTTTGCTGCTTTATGCTGCCTCATCTCCACTCCCCTAGTGCTTGAGATAATCACTCCTAGAGGCTTGGATGGTAGGGTTTCTGAGCACTTGGGAATTGCTTTTTATAGTGTTCAGTAGAACTGAGTGTTTGAAGAGAAGCGCTGCATGTTAGCTCATTTACTAAGATGCCATCGCTTCTTTTGTATAGTACATTGTTAACATGAAAGAAAAGCTTCCTTTCCTTCTGTGTGACCTGGTGGGCAAAGGTCAGATTTCCTGGGTCTGAGAGCATTGAAGTATTGTCAGAGGCCCCTGGACGTCCTTGTACCTTAGTCATTGCCTGGGAACCTGAGAGCAGGGGAAGTTGCTCTACGGTGTCCTTGTGGTGCCGCCTGAGTGTAAATGAACATGACTCGTGAAGAGCTGTGACCGTTTTCTACCTAGTGTGTCAGAGCAGCCCTGTTCAGGAAAGGGCTAATGATAATCGGGAGAGGGGGAAGCAGGACATGCCCAGCCATGGAGTGGATGGGGAAGGCACACAAAGAGGAGCAGAAGAAAGTCAGGGAGCTAACAACAAAAGTCATTAAGAGAAAGGCCCCTGGACCAACAGGTGAAATTGAAAAATCCAGCAAAGCCAGGCAGGGTAGAACATGCCTTTAATCCCAGCACTCAAGGGGCAGGTGGATCCTTTCTGCTTGAGGCCAGTCTGATCTACTTAGTGTCCAGCCAGGGTGATATAGTGGGACACAGAGAGAGAGAGAGAGACTTGAACTGCAGGTAACGGCACTGCTTCCTTCCATTCCTCTGTAAACACCTGGGTTTCCTGATGTAACACCCTCCTCCGTGCTGTGACAGCTAGAATGAACTGTTGACTTGGAGTCTTTTGTACATCATAATAAACTTTCGTTAAAACAACAACAAAAATGTGGATGTGTCTGCTCTCCAAACTCTGGTGCTTTTCCTCTCCTGAAAGCTAATTCCTTGGGACAGCAAGGCCAGCAACATATAGGCATTAGGTCATCAACTGTCGCTTCTCTCATACCCACTTCAGTATGTCTCTTGTCACATTCCTTCTTTCCTCGGGTCGGTGCAGCCATTTATGTCCCTTGGACTGTTGGGCAGAGAAGGTATAGACATATAGCTTTCTTTATTACTCAGCTAGTTGGTGGCAAAGTCAAGGCATAAACTGGATCTAACCGGGGCAGTGCCTATAATCCCAGCACTTGAGATGTAGAGGCAGAATCAGGAGTGTGAGGCTCAGCCCAGGGTGCATGTCAAGTTCCAAGACAGTCTCACATGCATGAGTCTATGTCTCTTGAATAAAAAAACAAACCTGGCCAGGTGCAATGGCGCACACCTGTGGTCCCAGCACTTGGGGAGGCAGAGGCAGGCGGATCTCTGAGTTCAAGGCCAGCCTGATCTACAGTACAGGCTGACAACAAACTCATGATCTAACCTGCCCCAGTCATCTGGGTGTATCTCACTGGCAAAGTGCATGTCCTTTGATGTCCAGGCTGTGAAAATAAAGGAAATAAGTGTGATGTGGTAGCAAATGCCTGTAGTCCCAGTGCTTGGGAGAATGAGGCAGGAGGATCTCTGTTAGTTCGAGGCCAGCCTGGTCTACAGACCGAGTTCCAGGACAGCCAGAGATATAAAATGAAGCCCTGTCTTGAAAACATACATATATACATGAATGAATGAATGAAGTCACTAGTGCCTTTCACTTTCTTTTAGATTATGATGTATCATTTCTCCTTCCCTTTAAACCATGTGTCCTTCCTTGTCCTATTTTCAAGTCCAGGGACTCTTTTTTTCATTAATCCTCCTCCCTTGCCCCTCCCCTTTTTTTTGAGACAGGATTTTTCTGTGTAATCTTGGCTGTCCTGGACTCACTTTGTAGACCAGGCTGGCCTCAAACTCAGAGATCCGCCTGCCTCTGCCTGCTAGAGTGCTGGGATCACACGCGTGTGCCATGCGCCCTCTTCCATTCCCCACCCTTTCTCTTTTGGTTCTTTGGGTCTGGCCTCAAACTCACAGAGATCCTTCTGCCTCTGCCTCCTGAGTGGGGTTAAAGATGTGATGGTGGCTTTTTCTCCTTGCCCTCCTCCTCCTCTTCCTCCTCATTCTTTTATTTTGAAGCTAAGGTTTTAACTTGAGTACTAAGCTCTCTTCCTTCTGAATGGATCTAGAGATAACCTAAAGTGAAAACCAAATGCCTTGGGTATTACCTTCATCTTCTGTAATGCTCAGCCTGCTGAAGACTGAAGTTCTGAGCTAGGGCTACAGCTCAGTGGGTGAGCACTTGCCTAGCATACAGAAGACTTTAGGTTCAATTCCCAGCACTGTAATAGAATTGCTTTCTGACTTGATTCTGTGGTGATCTGGATTCCTGCATTTGGTTAGATATTTATACCCTTGGCCATGAAATCAGAGAAGAAAGACACCAGGCAGAGGCAAATGGGTATCTGAGTTCAAGGCCAGCCTGGTCTAAAAGTAAGTCCAGGACAACCAAGCCAAGGTTACACAGAGAAACCCTGTCCCAAAAGCAATGGGTCAGGGAACATGCTGCCTATAGGTAGACTACCCACTTCCTGAACCCTGTGTAATCTCTGCTTAGCCATCAAAGAAGCAATACTGAGAGAGAAAGCCTATTTGTCTTAGACTGTACTGTAGAAACCAGGTACGGTGATTCATGTCTAGAAAGCCTGCGCTTGAGAGGCTGAGGAAGAGCGCCTGCCACGAGTGCAAAGCCTGTCTGGGCTGTCTGAGAAGCCAAACCAAAATTTTGCCGGTTTTGGTGCCATACCTGTGATCCCAGCACTGGAGGGCTAAAGTAAGAGGATTGCTCTGAGTTGGACATCATCCTGGTCAACAGATCAGGGAGTTCTGCACCAACCAGGGCCACATAGCAATACCCTATTTCAAAAACAAACACCAAAAACTGGAGCCAGCACTGAGGCAGGAAAACTGCCATAAATTTAAGACAGGCTTATGTGAAACCCTACTTTAAAACTGAAGTCAGGGGCTGGAGAGCTGGCTCAGAGGTTAAAGCACTGGCTGCTCTTCCAAAGGTCCTGAGTTCAATTCCCAGCAACCACATGGTGCCTCACAACCATCTATAATGAGATCTGGTACCCTCTTCTGGCCTGTAGGCACAACACTATATAAATAATAAAAACATTAAAAAAAAAAAAAACTGAAGTCAGGGTTGTTGAGGAGATGGTTTAGTGGATAAAGCCCTTGCAAGGCATGTGTGAAGAACAGAGATGGAGCTCCAGCACCACATAAATAATGGATGGTAATCCCAGTGCTTGGGCGGCAGAGACAGGATCCCCAGAGCAAACTGGCAAGGTACAATGAATCAGTTGCTAAGTGCAGGTTCAAGAGACTCAATATATAAAGTAGACAGAGCTGGTGAAGTGGCTCATGCCGTTAGCTCCAGCATTAATAATTAGTAAGACAGAGGCAGGCAGATCTGTGCTGAGTTCAGTGCCAGCCAAGACTACAGAATGAGAGCATGAATGTGCACGAGTGCGTAGGAAAATACTCAACATCAGCCTCTGGCCTCCATGTGCACACAAAGGTGAACCTATACATACACAGATGGCTATCACACACACATACATCAAAAAAGAACATACATGTTCAGCAATAGAGATAGCTGCTATAGTGGTATTTAGGGAACTCAACCCAAGCGTGTCCATTCAGAGCTCAGGACACTTTGATCACTCTCTGACATGGCAGAGTAGACTTGGGTGCATGTTGTTATTACTTGGCCCTATTTTTGTGGTCTGTTTTATTTCTCATCTGTTTTCTTTCCCAATGATGCTTAGAAATTAGATTCAGAGAGCCACATAAATAAGTGTTTATTGAAAAAAAATACAAATTTTCATATAAATATAATAAATAACAACCATCGAAATTGCTACAAGAATAAATAACACCGAAATTTCCCTTCCCACTTAATAAATATGCAGCTTTGTCTCAGGTCAGCATCGTGAGTCAGGCCATATTGGTAGCTAGGTTAGTTCTTAGTGACTAGGCTCCATTAGAACTATGGGAAGAAGCAGGAAGTTACAGGGCTGCTGTCTGCAGCACAGCGAGACTACATATTTCCTGAGTCCCTCAGAGAAGTGTAGCTTTTCCCTTTTCTTGTTTTTCTTACAGATACTGGCCAAAGCCTGGGCTCACTTTTTCTGATGCTCTGAGCTTTCTTACTTTCTCTGGTGCTCCCCTCTCCACTTCTGCCATGCAGCTGCTTGCCAGCTTCCATGGCAAAGAGCAGGATTATATTCCTCTTCTCCATCTCCTTCCTCTAGGGTGCTCTCTGCTCTGGGTTTTGTTTTGGTTCTTTTGTTTGTTTATAAAGCTGTCCTTGCCCTTTACACGAAACAAGAAAAGGTCCTGATGGGCTAGTTAGCTTGTAGATGCCTGGATTGATAGATTCCTCTTATCATTGTAGCCACAGGAACCTGGATGCCATCCTTAAGCTGTTGGCATTAAGGACTCAGTCAGAGTAGCTGCTCCGTGAGCAAAGACCCGGGCAGCTATAGCCACAAAGGCCTGGAGGCTTCGAAGGATCTTGGAACGGAGAAGGGGGCGCTGCCACTGCTGGCTGGGACTCAGGGTAGGCAGCTGTTTGGTCTCCCAATGTTGATCCTCTGGCTAAAAGCACATGACATAGTCAGAAGGGGTTCCAGGTACTAAGCTCCCAGCATTAGTCTCAAACACTGGTAGTAGCCCCATTCTCCAGATCCCTGCCTCATACCTGGAGGAGTTGGCTGAGACCCAGTAGTGAGCTATGAAGCTGGCCCACGGGACTGTCGGGGAATAGAGAAGGCTCCTCTGTGAAGATGTCTGAGTCAAGCAGGTGCTTATAAAAAACCAGACCTTGGTGGATCCTTTGCAAGCAGAACTAGGGAAAGAAGAAAGCGATGAAAGCAATGGGTACTCTTGCCAGTGCCCTGCCTGCCTTTCTTCCTCTCTTCCTCTCTCTCTCTCTCTCTCTCTCTCTCTCTCTCTCTTTCAACATCATCCCACTAGCTCAGGCTGTGGCCTTAAAGCTTACTGCACATAGCTTAGGCCAGCTTCAAGCCCACTGTACTTCATCATCTCAGGCAGAGATGAGTGGTCTTTATGATGCCTAGCTTCCTTTCTCCCCCCTCTCCTAGACACACTAACATCATCTTGGTGGTACCTGGCTGTTGTCCTTGAGTCCTTGAGGATCACAACCATCTCCACACTGGATATGAGGGACATCATTTTTAGTCTCTTTATCTCCTTCTTCTCTTAGTAGATCCTGGAATGGGGAAAGTGGGAAGAAAGAGACAAGGTTTATACTGTGCATTCCACTGGACCCTTGGCCAAAGCCTCTCCCAGAAGACCCAGTCTTCTGTTCTCTCTCATTTCACAATGGCCTTCAACCCTCCAGTTTCCACCCAGGGCCACATCTCACATTAAACCTACACACTTGGAAGACTTGGAAGGGTCCTGCCTGGTTCCTGGCACTGGCACTTACCATATGTCCCACTGGTGGATGTGCAGTCCAGGCTAGTGTGCAGAGACTCTGAGAGAGCTGTTGGCACTGAGCCCAGTCAGGACTGCTACTCCTAGGTATGGCCAGGCACTGAGCGGTCCAGGGCAGCAGCCACAGCAGTATTACAGCTCTGCAATCCAGCATCCTGTTGCCTGCTTCTCAAGTCTGGCTGGCTCTGTGATCTGCACTGAGCTGTGGAGTCTCAACCCGCCTCCTTTTGTTCTGAGTCTGACTCTGTCTGATTTCTAAGCTGCTTCCTGTTTTCCTTCCCTTTGTCTCACAGTCTCTTTTTAAGGTCCCTGCGTTGTAAGGCCCGCCCTTTATACTGGCAGGTGACTCAGAGCAGGTGGGATTCCCCTGCCTGCATCACCCTGGCTCTTCGGAGAGGCCAGGTATGCTGCCTCTGTCCCAGGGGAAGTGAGTGGTAAGGTTGCTATGGCTAGAGGCCCAGGTCGGGACCCATGTGTCATTGCTCTCCAGGAACAGAGATGGTTGCAGAAGGGGCAGGGAAGTAATAGACATTTAAATTAATAACATCCCCAGTTCCTTCCTGTATAATCTGTCTGATATTTTTGCCTCTCAAGGCTTTATTCTTAACCTACCCCACTCTAATTTCCTCACTTCCTCTTGCCTGAGGAAAAACCAAAACAACACTCATTCATCTCCAAATCCTATGGTGAACTCAGATTCGAAGTTTGGTCCTTGTGTGATGCCTTCTATGTAAATACAAGGCATTTCTTCCCCTCCGTGGAAAATCGTGTTCTTTTCACTGGGTGTTCCTGGTAGCTGTAACAAGTACTCTGTGACCTAAGAAGCCCTGTAAGGGCAGGGTAAGAAATTACTGCTTCCGGCAGGCCTCACTGAGGAAAGGGCACTTTGGGGTGAGAATGCTGATGAAGAACCTCTTAATTTCTCAGGCCACTTAACCTGAGGTAGTCATTGGTTCTGTGGGATTTAGGTAGTGATTTTTTTAGGGAACCAGTATAACCAAGGACTGGAAATTTAACTTGAAAATTCCAGCTCCCTGCTCCTACCCCATAGCGAGAAAGTGTAGATAAAAGTTCTGGTAGTTGAAAATATAGTGACAATGACCCTTGCTGGTCTTTCAGCTTATTGCATCCACGGGTAAAATCCACTGATGGTTGATTTCATCATCCTCCGTGATGCAACATCCAGGGAAGCAGCTGAGAGAGTGAGGTTGGACGTGGGAGGAAAGGGTGGTCTGAAACTGGGATTGCCCCAACCCCAGTGGAGGGTCCCAGAACAATTTGGACGTCAGAATGAGGCCATAGATGACCACATGGCAGGCTCTCAAAGTCTTCCCAGGTTAATTTTTCCTCTGAGATACAAGTTCTCCTTGGGGGTCTCCCTTCCCTTCGGACTATTTTTTTTAGTTGTTTTGTTTTGTTTGACAGTGCTTCTTGTGTAGCCCTAGCTATCCTGGAACTTACTCTGTAGACCAGGCTGGCCTTAAACTCAGAGATTCATCTACCTCTGCCTTCCGAGTGCTGGGATTACATGTGTATGCCACCACCACCCAAAGACTAATTTTTTAAATAGAAAATGCTTTATGGATTTGCATGTCATCCTTGCACAGCAGCCATGCTAATCCCTATATCCTTTTAGTAATGTGCCGCTGAAACAAGCACCCTGAGGGACTATTTTAAACTTCCCAAACAAAACTTCTGGTTCAAATATTATTATTAGGATTCTGTGACAAGTTTACCGACCTTTTGGTGAAACATTTTCAGAATCTGAGAATTAGCTCTGTTTGGGAGAGAAATGATTTGCATACACAGGATGGATATAAGTGGAATAAGGGAATTTGGAGGAGGGGGCGTGGAAGAATCATACTTTGCTATGTTTGGTCACAGTCCTGAGAGTCCTAAAAGATAGGAGATGAAAGGTGAAAAGAAAGATAAGGAAATGGAGGTGGGATGAGATAGGTAGGGGTGAGCTAGAGGAACAGGGCTTCAGCTGTTTCACTTCCTGGTGCTTTATCAGTTGAGTAGGAAGCAGAGTTGGTGGGACAACTGACTCTCTTGCAGATAGAACCACTTCCAAGACAACAGCTGACCTAGAACTTCAAGAAGCCCTTGACATCAGCTGGCCCTCAACCGTTATGCAAATCACACTCAGAAGACACTCCTAGACAGGCCTTTCCAGGTGGATGCTCAGATTCCAAAGCCAGCTGAAGTCCCCCAAGTGATTAATAACTACGGCTAATAATGATGGCTGATATGCATCCAACCCTGTCTTTATGATGTGTGCCTGCTCTAAACACTTTAAGTACATTAATCTAAGTCTCACAATAAATTCTACATAGTATGTATATGTAATATAATAAATACTATTACATATGACAGCTGGGGACGCTGAGGTGTGGAGATAAGTAACAAAGAGCTAGGAAGTGAATAGCACTGTGGGGCCAACAAACTTATTTATATTTATTTTTAAGGATTTATTGCCAACTATCTTTTTTAAATTGTTTAAATGTGTGCCTCAGTGTGCCTGTAGACACCAGAGGACAACTCTGTCAGGTCAGTCCTGTCCTTCCGTCTTTGTGTAGGTCCCAGGAATTAAACTTACGTTGCTAACTAGCGCCTTAACACAGTGAGCAATATTCTACAGATTAGCATCTGCCCATCATCATATCCCCAGGACTTTTTCTTTTCGGTTTGAGACATATGAAGTTTGACTTTGAACTCACTGGACTGAGACAAGTCTTCAACTATTTTTACTTTTTTGAGACAAGAACTAACTATGTAGCCCTGGCTAGCCTAGAACTCAGTGTGTAGACCAGGTTGGCCTTGAACCTAGAGATCTGACTGCCTCCTCTGCTTCCTTTGGGAATAAAGGTGTGAGCACTGCCACACCCAGTTTAGCTCTTCAAAATGGGATTCTCCTAATTTAACCTGGTGGCAAGGGCCGTACACTCACATCAGTCCCAGCTCACAGTCTGCCCTGTAGATTTTTGTTTGTTTTGGAGACAAGTTCTTTTAGCCCAGACTGGGTTCAAATATCTCTGTGTTGAGAATAATCTTAAGCTCTTGATCTTCCTGCCTCCACTTTCCAGGCGTTGGGATTGTAGACATGCTCAAGTGGAAGTAGACCTTGATTCATTAGGTAGTTTCTTGAGTCAGGCATGGTGACACCCTTCTGTATCCCCAGTTCTGGGGTCACTAAGACAAGAGGATTACAAGTTCAAGGCTAGTTTGGGCTACACAGTGAGAATTTAGCTCAATAAAAATAACTTATTTACTCCATGTATCTCAAGCTCCTTAACCCCCATGAGTCTGTGAAGGCTCTTTCAGTCATGAGAATTATGGAGAATTCTGTGAAGGAATGGCTTGGTTTAGGTCTCTTAGCATCTAGCTTCTTGTGTGAGAATTTAAATCTAAGGACCTATGAAGCCAGAGATCCTTGGAGTTAGGTGATCTGTTTTGGTGTAGGATTCCTTGGAGTATGGAGTATCCAATTGCCTATGTCCCCTGCCTGCCCCCTTACTGTTTTGTTTTGCTTTTTCTAGACAGAGCCTCATGTACTCCAGGGTGGACTGGAGTTCATGGTCCAGTTCATAGGCTGGACCATAATTGAACTCCTGACCCATCTGCCTCTACCTCATGCTTCTTTCATGAAGTTCTACTTACCTTTATTGAGAGGAATATCACACACAAACACAGGCAGAGACAGACAAATAAGCAGATAGAAATAGGTGTTAGGTGTGTGTTGTTAAACCTTGTATGTACATATGCTAGGCAAGTGCTAAAGTACTGAGCTATATAGTCCCAGCTCAGAGTCAGAGAAATGGTTTGGTTTTTGGAGATACTGGTGTTAAACTCAGGGCTTTTCCTGCTATGTGCTGATTAGATGCTTTAACAACTGAGCCACCTCCCCCACCCCTGACTTAAAAAAAAAAAAAAAAAGTTAAATTTATTATGTGTGTGTGCCACAGTATGTGGGTGAAGACAACCATGTGAGTCCCAGAGATGGAGCTGAGACTCTCAGAGCTGGTGGCAGGGCCCTAGGCTGCTGGGCCATCTTGATGGCCTCTTTCACTCCTTTGAATTCACTGTGTAGTCCACTCTGTCCTCAAACGCACAGATTCATGCCCCTGCCTCCTGAGTGTTGCATGCTCCACCCCCACCCCCACCTAGCCTGGCTTTTGGTTTATGAAACAGGGTCTCATGTGACCTGACTAGCCTGGAACTTGCTAGGTAGCAGATGCTAGCCTTGAACCCCTAATTCCCCTGCCTCTGCATCTGGATTACTGTCATTAAAGTATGCCTCCACTATGCATGGCCCAAGAAATGCTTTAAAAGTTGCTTATTATTGGTGAGGAAATCTCTTCCACAGGCATCCCATAATATGGCCTTTATGCTATTTGTTTGTTAAAAGAGGGATTCACTCTGTAGCCACAGCTGGCCTGGTCCTTGCTATGAAGCCTAGCCTTGAATTTGTGGGGGCCTCTTGCCCCTTAAGAACACAGGAATTTCAGCTGGCCCATGGTGCACACCTGTAATCCCAAGCGCTCAGAGAGGCAGAGACAGGCGGATCTCTGTGAGTTAGAGTCCGGCCTGGTCTACAAATTGAGTCCAGGATAGCCAAGACTACACAGAGAAGCCCTGTCTCGAAGAACAAAACAAAACAATAAAACAAACAAGAATGCAAGGATTGCAGGTGTGGACAATTAGCAGTACACGGCCTTTAAAAACAGTGATGACAGCTGAGTTTGAGCAACCTAAAACAACATCTCACAGCACGGACCAATTCCGAAGCAGTTTAGTACATAGCTAATAGCCCAGATCTGTTGGACATGGTAACATCCTCCCACAGGAGAAGCAGAGGCCTTATGGTTTCTGGGTTGGAGGCTAGTCAAGAATCCCTCAGAATGGCTGTTGACACAATCTGCTGTTTATCTCCCTTCGAGGGACAATGTCCAGCTCCACGATGTAGGGGAATTTGACAGTCTAGGAGTCTTGTTTCCTGGGAAAATTATGGGGGCCTCTGGGGACGATACAAACACGAATGGGAATTTCAGATGGATGCCTTTAGAAATAGAGAAAAGGTAGCCACTGGGCCAAATTAGAAGTCAGCCTCCCGCTTCCTTTTTCTTCCCCGTATCTAGAAGTCATAGGAAATGCCAGTGAGTTTCGGGGGCACAGGATCAGAGGTAGTGGAATGGCTCACAGGGATGATGAAGGCCACGCTGGGAACACCCACCGAGCGAGTCCTGATGCTTTGCCTCTATTCAAGGAGCGTAAAGGCTTGGTTTCCAAGTCTAAAGTTAATTTTGTTTAGCAATGCTTAAAAGTGAAAGTATTCCCTTTCGTAATACCAAATGGGTCCGCGTCTGACTCAGTTTGTCCCCGGCGGCATTCCGTAACTGCGTTTTGTCGGAGCTCCTGCATCACACGCCTTCTCCGGAGCGGCCTTACCTGGCCCCTTCTGATTGG